CACACACACACACACACACACACACACACACAGACACTCACTCACACACAACACTCTCACACACACGCACGCACGCACACACAGAGTGGTGTAAAACCTGCAGTTTCTCACAGTCAACACTGCACTGATGAATTGAATATTATTATTGAGTTATTTACACACAGCAGCTCTTCATCATCAGTCTCTTCATCTCGTCATTCGTCTGCAGAATTGAATCGTGTTGATTCTCAGCTGCTCTGATTCGGATTCATTTCCCAACACTCTCTGACCTTTAAACCACTACTAACGGTGAACTCGAGGAGATAAAGCGGAGACTCATCATCGTTTGGCTCGTTTTGAAGGTGGTTCGTCAGATTTCTGTGCTCCACGTGTGCGAGGAAGAGCAGGACTGGAGTCACGCTTGCATCCCCTCACCGATCTGAGACACAGAGAGAGACAGTTCACTCACACACTGCAGGAATGTTTATGATCTACTACTGCTAAAGATCACACTGCATCAGACACTGTAACCCATAATGCAAAGCGCATAACCTGTTCTTTCATTTCCAGTGTGACAAATGAACAGTAAGTGATGTCTTTCTTGACTCATTATTGGATCAGACTCACAAAGTTCAGACATTTTTACACAAAACTGAGTCAAAATGCTAAATATCTGTATTCACCAGCTGATACCTGAACACCACTCACTGAATTACATTAAATATGAAGCATGAGGCCATGTGACAGTTCAGCAAACTACTGTTTGAACAACTTAAATTAGAGCAATTAATACAGTACTACAACTGTACTATAATGAGTAAGAAAAAAGAATAGATTTAAAAATAGATAAATAAACACAGCACTAATGAGGCTCTATCTAAGCAGACGGTGTGTAGTACACTAGTCTTCATTCTGAACTTTGTCAAACAGTATTTCTCAGATGTACAGACCGTGTGTTCGGGGAGTTTTCCTCTTTCCCGCTGAGTTTACTGACAGCTCGAGTGGACGGTTTGCTGGGTTTATTCCTGAAAACAAACGAGAGAGATGAGTCTTCATTGGCTGAGCCGTGAGCATCGCAGCATCAGACGTCTGTCGTACTTCTCTGCCTCCAGACGAGACGCGGCGCGGGTCGTCGCTCTGCTTCGGGTCTCTTCTTCATCATCCTCTTTCTCTCCGTCTCTTTTATCTGAGGCTCCTGTGTCTGTGAACGAGAGAACCACTCACGGTCGAATAGAACAAACGTCGCACGTGATAAGAGATACATATGAAATCTGCAGAGCAGGAGGGTGCGAGGACTGGAATTGGGAACCGCTGATGTAGCCTATTGTAATGTTGTCTCTGGTGTTCTGGTCTGTGAGTGTAAATGCATTCAGAGGGCGTGGCTTTGGATGGCGATTGCAGGGAGGGTGGGACCTTCGCTTTCAGTGCTATCAGGCTAAAGTTAGCATTTTCCAAAATCTCCTACTGCACCTTTAATATCCTAATGATTTTTAGCATAAAAGAAAAATGTATAATTTTGACCCATACAATGTATTGTTGGCTATTGCTACAAATATCCCCCAGCGACTTGACTTACTGCTTTTGTGCTGCAGGGACACAAATAAATGAGTGAGTAAGTAAATACAGTATTATAAGAAAAGAAAAATATAATGAAAAAATGAATTCAAATATACAGATTAAAACAAACTTATAAGTTATTAAATTAGATCAAAATAATAAAAGTTAGATTAAAAAACAATACAGTGTAGAGTAAATACAGTACGATAATAAGAAATAAACATAATAATGTAACTTAATAGAAACTAATTATTTTCCAATCATATTTTATATATATTTACAATATTAATATTTGACAATAGGCTATAAAATTGGGTCTACACACCAGAGTCGTCTGTAGCAGAGGATGTTTTGGAGGGTCGTCCGAGGCGGGCCGGTTTCTGCTGCCGGTCCTCCTGAACACACACACACACGCACGTACGCACGCACACACACACACAGACAGACAGACAGACACACAGTGACAGGCAAACAGACAGACAGACACGCACGCAGACAGACAGACAGACACACATAGACAGAGACACACATAGACAGAGACAGAGACACAGACAGACAGACAGAGACACAGACAGACAGACAGACACACAGTGACAGGCAAACAGACAGACAGACACGCACGCAGACAGACAGACAGACAGACACACATAGACAGAGACACACACAGACAGACAGAGACAGAGACACAGACAGACAGACAGAGACACAGACAGA